TTGTCAGAGAAAATATAGGTGGAACTTCTGTATCCCCAGGATACAAGAGCCCCTCTGTGCGGGCACAGGTGTTGCGGGCATCTCTCTCTTCATCTTGTTCTATTCAGAGCAACCTTTTGCAGATACTGTCACCTGGGCTCCCCAAAATTCAGTGCAGGTGGGGTGCCTGCAGATACTGCGGCTGCGTACCGTCACAGGAGTTTGTATCTTTCTGTAGGGGATGTCTGAGGCTTATAAAGTGCATTCTGGGAAGACTTCAGCCAGAGTCAGGTCTGAGTCAGGGTGGGAGAGCACCAGGCCAGAGGCTGCTAGACTTGGAAAGTGACAGGCTGCCTGGTCTATTGAGCTCCCATGTGCTGCCATGTGAGTGGTCCAATTTCCCACGGCCTTGGGGGTGGGGGGTAGGTGGTGCTTTCTGTGAGCAGCATCCCTGCCTGGGAACAGAGGGTGGGCAGATGTCCCTCAAGCCCCGGATCTACAAGGGTGAGGTATAGTGCACTCAATGCAATCCAAGGCCCAGCCTGCTCCTGCCTCCCTCACAGGGGTCTGCCAACTCTTGTGACACAGGACATAGACCCTACACAGTCTGGAAATGGACAATAACGAGGTAGAGGTGCAGGTTCTATACTGTTGAGGTGTACGTGTCAGCCAAGAAGGAAAGGGTGTCCCAATAGAGGAATGGTCTCATAGCACCCAGTACAATGGCCAGGACGGGATTGATGCTCAGTAGATCATGATCATGATCATGATCATGATGGTCATGATGATGATGATGGTGGTGGTGGTGGTGGTGGTGGTGGTGGTAGTAGGCATGGTAGCAACATTCATTAAGCATTTGTGTACTGAATGCTGCTTATACTCCTTCGTTTAATTCTCACAACAGTTTTCTGGGGCATATAGTTTTATAGTGTTGATGATAAGAATCCCTGTTTTGGAGACATACGGTTTAGTGCAAACTGAGCCATAGAGAGGTTAAGTCACTGGCCTAGGGCCAGTCTTCTGCAGAGGCAGAAAACAAAACACATGGTGGCTCTTCCTGAGGGGCTGGAGCTCTTCAGAGGGTGGGAGCCGTCACCCCCATCCCCAGCTTCAGAAGTCATGGCATTGGGACTGCCTGAGGCTGGGCAGTCTCAGTGGACATGACCCCCCCCCCCCCCCATCCAGAGCATCCTTTAATCTTGGACCCTTCTCCGAAGCTTTCCCAGGAAGGCTCAGGATTCCAGCCCCTCCTGTCCCTTCTCAGGGCCACCCCCTGCTCTCCCCCCAGGAGGCCTCCCGTGTGCCCTCTCAAAGCTAGGAATGCTGTCTCTATTCTGCAACCCTTGACCAGGCCAGGCACCCCTTGGCAGAAGCTTGGGTCTGGGTGAAATAGGGAAGAGGAGGACTTTGAAGAGCCGCCAGCCCTCTCGGGCTGGAAGCTGTCCTCACCTTCGCTGCTCCAAGAGTCCGTCAGGCCCTTCCAGGGCCACCTCCCTGACGCTGCTGATAGTCACCCATGACAGACCAGAGTGAAAGTGAGGGAGCCGCCTCGTCAGAGGTCCTCCGGCCCCACCCTGGCCATCACTACCACATTAGGACTGGGGACACGCCCATGTGCAGTGAGGAGACTGTCCAGCCACAGGGCTGCGGCTGGTAGAGCTCACTGCCTAGGCACCCAGGCCCTTTAGCGCCCTTCCCGGCCCACACAGGGACCTCCCCTCCTGCCCTGGCCTGGCCTGAAGCGTGAGGTCACCTGGGAGGCGGTGGGTGGCTGTCAGTCCGTGGGCCTGGGCCCGTGCCCTGCTGGGCCCCGTGCATGGCAGGGGGAAAGGGAGGAGGCTGTGTCCTTCTATAGACCCACCACACTTGGTACCAGTCTCAAGATGGCTCTGAGATCCTGCCCCATCCCCCTCTCTCACCTAGGGCCCAAGCCCTCCAACTGGCTTTTCCAGTTCCTGGCTTTGTGTGGCGCAAGTTCTCCAATTATGCCCATATTATCTCAGCTACTGGGCAGCCTCCAGCAGGCCTGGGGAGTGGAAGCTGGGGGGGGGGGGGGGGGCGGGCACGGAGCACCCACTTCTCCTGCCCGAGGATGGGGAGGATCCTCCGGGGCTTAGCCGCTTTCCAGCCAGCCAGTCAGCAAGAGTGCTGGACTGTCTGACCCACTGACCTCTCTGTGGGACTGTTTCTCTGGGGTGAGGCACGGGCTGGGCTGCTGTCAGTTAGAGCCAGGAGAAACTGGGAGCCCAGCTGGCTCCTTTGCAAAAGAAGGAGAAAGGATTCAAAAAGGGGGAAGCGACTGGCCAAGGTCTCACAGTGACCAGTCAAAGGCACAAGCAGGCAGAGCCCAGCCTCTGACTGTCGGTGGCACTTGTCCCTTTGCAGCTCCTCTACCCTCACTGCCTCTGCTTGAAAGCTATTGGGTACTAGGCACCCACAGAACAGCCCAGGGAGCAGCGGAAGGGATGGGGACACCCAGACGGCCATATACAGAACCAGGCGCCAGTAGTTAACATCTATAATCCTAGCTACCCAGGAAGCTGAGCTCTTAGCAGCTCAGTTCAAAGTCAGCCAAGTCAGGAAAGTCCTTGAGACTCTTTATTTCCAACTTAACCACCAAAAAGCCCCGTGGCTCAAGTGGTAGAGTGCCAGCCTTGAGCAAAACAAGCTTAGGAACAGCACTTAGACCCTGAGTTTAAACCCTAGTGCTAGCGTTCGTGCACACACACACACACACACACACAGACTCAAGTACAGTTTTGCTTCTTTCTCTATTGTTTATTTAGTTAGTATTAATGTGCATTGTTGGGGGATGGTCCTTATGACCTTTCCATACACGAACACCCCATTCCACCTCACCTTCTGTCTCGCTCCCCATCCACTTGCCCCTTCTTAGAACATTTCAACATGTTTCATTGTTGTATTTGCACATAAACTACACTGACCTTGTTGGTTCCTCGTTCACCCTTTTCTGCAAGCTCAGCCTGGCAAGATCCTGCCTCGGCCTTCAGAGTGCTGTGGTTACTGCGTGCACCACCATACCTGGCTGAGCAAGCACTTGTGGAGTTCCTGCTGTGTACTGAGCTCTGGGGTTCCATAGTCACCTGTGCTCTGGAGGAGAGGGTGGGGAGCCATGAAACACCTTGACCGTGGGCTTTGGAGCCCACACTGCTCCTGAGTCTCCATCATGCACACGCCCCCATTTCTCACCTTAGATCTTAGACTCCCCTGGAGCCCGTCCCCCTATCTCTGAGTCTGCATTATTGACAGTACGGATGGTCCTCCAATAAACTGACTCTGTGAAGTAAAGCTGCAAGGACATGAGTACACAAATGTGTGTCAAGGATGCAGACTTGACAGGCTGAGAGGTGAACACAGGCTGGGGGGCGGAGGGCAGAGCCTAGGGCCGGGGACGGCCAGGCCAGGATAGAGGAGACAGCCAATTTCAAGGGAAAGGATGCTCAACCAAAACATTCCGGACGTGACCATGTCATCAGTGGGGATTCAGGAGGGGATTTGTTCCTTCCACAACACCCATTGCTCCCTCCTTGCAAATCATTATTATCGGGCCTTCCCTTGCAGTTCATCCAAGGAGAACTGTTTGCTAGTAGTAAAGAAAAGTAAACCTAGAAACCTGTCCTGTGGGCCAGGGGCTGGTCTGGACACTAGATACATAAGATACCTAAGCAGATACGTGAGCAGACATAGAAGGTACATAAACATCACTCCAAGGCAGAAAGAGCCATGCTCAGGTAGCTGGCTGCTTCTGGCTGGGAGGGGGCTACCACAAACTCCCCCCAGGTGGGAGGGAGAGCGACCCACACAGTTGAAGGAACTCTATGAACAGAAGTTGAGAAGGGTTGTGTGGATGGGTTCTGCACGCGGCTGGCTGTATCTGCCAGGGGCTGGCTGAATTAATTACTCACTGATAGGACCTAAGTACCAATAATAGATCCTGGCATATAGCCACTCAGCAAACAGTTCTGGGGTAATTAGGAGGGAGAGAAGGAAACAGAAATTAACCATGTTGAGGACAGGTCTGATGTGGTTGAAGAGCCCAGCTTCTGGAAAGGTGTGGATAAAAGGCAACCGCCATAGACGCCAAAAGCCAAGTTAAGGCATTTAGACCTGATTATAAAGGCATCAGAACCAGCAGAGACCCTGCCTTGGGTGGCATTTATGTCCCTCTGCCTGGCCACCAGAAAATGGCTGACCCAGCACACGAGGGAGCCATGAGGGAGAAGACAGTGCAGTGGCCGCAATGTGGGTCACCGTGAGCCCTCATGCTCCCCCGTGGCTTCCTGTCGCATGACGCACTTTCTCCCCTGTGCCTTTGCTTCTCCTAGCAACCCCTTGAGGTACAGAAGACTGGATTATCCGCCCCATTTATCTGATGAGGGAACTGAGGCCAGGAAAGTAAAGAAGCTCAGAGCTCATGGGCCGGGACTCTTAATTGCAAGCCGAGCATCTGACACTTCCCAAAATGAGGATGTACCGGCTGTGGTGATAGATGTCCGTCACCCCAACACTCAAGAGACTGAGGCAGGAGGTTTAAGGCCAGGCTGAGCTACATAGATAGCAAGATCCTGTCTCACAGGGGTGGAGAAGATAGGTAGGTAGATACATACATACATAGATACATACATACTACATACATACATAGGTAGATACATACATACATAGGTAGATAGATAGATACATAGTAGGTAGATAGGTAGGTAGATAGACAGATAGATAGCATGCAGAGATAGCAATATGTTACTAAATGGGAAAGGAGTGATAGAGTAATCTGTATGGTGTAATTGTGATTTTGCTCATTTATGTGGAGAGAGAAGATGGATTCTACAGATGTGATGGTGTAATTTTCTTCTCAATAGTTTTCAGTACTGCCCAGAGTGTTTTTATAACAAGTAATTATAAGAAGAATTTAAAAATTAACGACTGCTGTAAAAGTCACAGGGAGCAAGGGGGACAGGGAGCTGGGACTGGCCCTGACCGTGCCCTGCCGTTCCCCCTGCCAGGCACCCACTCGCAGGTGGTTCAGGTGAACGATTCCATGTATGGCTTCATCGGCACAGACGTGGTACTGCACTGTAGCTTTGCCAACCCGCTGCCTGCTGTGAAGATTACCCAGGTCACATGGCAGAAGGCCACCAACGGCTCCAAGCAGAATGTGGCCATCTATAATCCAGCCATGGGTGTGTCCGTGCTGCCTCCCTACCGTGAGCGAGTGAAGTTCCTGCGGCCATCCTTCATCGACGGCACCATCCGCCTCTCCCGCCTGGAGCTGGAGGACGAGGGCGTCTACATCTGCGAGTTTGCTACCTTCCCAACCGGCAACCGGGAGAGCCAACTCAATCTCACTGTAATGGGTAAGCTGGCCGCCCTCCGTGTCTCTCCAGATGCCTGTGCTCTTGGAGCTTGGCCGTCTCTAATGCTGCCTCGGTGGCCCTGATACCCTCCTTGGGCAAAGCTCTAGGCTTCTAGCCAGACTGTCCACAATTTACTAGGGATTGGGCTAGACAAAGCTATGGACAGAATAGAGGATCAGTGGTAGAGCACTTGGGTTCCATCCCCACCACCATTTAAAAAAAAAAAAAGAAGGGAGGAAGGTGGGGAAGAAAACCAAATAGAGTCAATATTTAAGCAGGAAGCCTTGCCTCGGGACACTGTGAGTGGCCAGGCTACATGGCCAGATACCATGACACAAGCCAGGCGCTGTTGGCTCACGCCTGTCATCCTGGCTACTCAGGAGGCTGAGATCTGAGGATCGCGACTCAAAGCCAGTTGTAGCAAGAAAGCCAGTGAGACTGACTGTGATTTTTTAAAAAAATCTGGAAGCAGAGCTGTGGCTCCAGTGGTGGAGCACCGACCGTGAGTGAGAAAGCTCAGGTAGATGCCAGGAAGGCTGACGTTGGCCAGTGCAGCAGGGAACACGTGCGTGAGCTGTGCGCAGAAAGGCAGGCAGCCAAGGGGAGCTGAGGCAGGGTGGGGGGAACCTTGCTTCCCAGAACTGACCTGCTGCTGCTTTCTGACTCCCCACAGCCAAACCCACCAACTGGATAGAAGGCACCCAGGCGGTGCTTCGAGTCCGGAAGGGGCAAGATGACAAGGTCCTGGTGGCCACCTGCACTTCAGCCAATGGGAAGCCTCCTAGTGTGGTGTCCTGGGAAACCCGGCTAAAGGGCGAAGCCGAGTACCAGGAGATCCGAAACCCCAATGGCACCGTGACAGTCATTAGCCGTTACCGCCTCATACCCAGCCGGGAGGCCCACCGGCAGTCCCTGGCCTGCATTGTCAACTACCATCTGGACCGCTTCAAGGAGAGCCTCACTCTCAATGTGCAGTGTGAGCTGGGACTGGGAGCAGGGCGGCTTCTTCCAGCCCCACCCTCCAGGCTCCCTCTTCTTCTGGGGTTCTGAGTTCAAGCCCCAGTACTGGCACCTGCCTCCTCCTTTCCTCCCTCCCATTCCCCTTTGCCATTTCTGCTCTGAGGTCCCACAATGCCACCTCCCTCTCTCTTTCCCAACTGTCCCCATGTCTCTGTTCCTTCCATTCCTTCCCTCTCTGGGGGCCACTCACCCCAGGTCCTGTTCTGCTGACCTCACTTCCTTCCAAAATCATCCTCTGCCCCACAGATGAGCCCGAGGTGACCATCGAGGGGTTTGATGGCAACTGGTACCTGCAGCGGACAGATGTGAGGCTCACATGCAAAGCTGACGCTAACCCCCCGGCCACGGAGTACCACTGGACCACGTAAGTGCGTGAGGTACTCGCTGCCAGCTCACAGTGAGGTCAGGAGCCTTAGCAGGGAGGCGGAAGACGGTGTTGAGGTTTTTCAGTAAGACGGGAACCTTAAGAGACCTCATATCAGCACATGCACACACACACACACACACACACACACACACACACGCACGCACGCACGCACCTCTATTTGAGTGCCAGGGTCAGTAGGACAAACTATCCTGCCAGTAGGGGCTCCCCTCTCAAGTTGCTTCCCTCCCTGTCACTAAGAAAGAACTTTTGTCATTTTTCCTTTGGTGATTCAGCCTGAGTCACTCCCCCCCTGGTAGTTATTTTTATCGAGGTGTCCCCGGGGAAGCTGGCATTCTGGAGCATCCCAGATCTTTCCTGCTCCTTCTCTGCAGACTCTTGGAGTGGAGGCAGTCATGAGCCTAGAATGCCTGTGCCCTTAGAATACCCACCCCTCACCCTTCTGCCCATTCCTGCCTTCCTGGTCTGGGGCCTGGACCACAGTGATCCGGATCCCCTCCAGCCAGCTCCAAGCATGGCTCCTCCCACCAAGATCTAGAAGAAACAGAGACAGGGGTGGGGGGAGCCAAGAAAGGTCACTTGGGTGGCCAGAGGACAGCAGCACAGAGCAAGTCTACACCGTCTCAAGAAGCAGGGGACCCTGGTGTGCCCTGTCTGTTCGCCTCCACTTCTGGGAACAAAACATGCTTCTGAAAGTACAAGTGAGTAGAGGCTACCGGCCAGCAGACCCTGTGTGCTGAGGGGCTGCTCCGTTAACTGAGCAATCGCTTTATGGTCCTGGGAATCAAGAGGAAGGAAGGAAGCTCTCTGTGCTCTGCAAACTCCAGGATTCTTCCACCTGAAAAAGTGCTGTGGCGTGCCCAGCAAGAGCCCCAGGCCCCGAGTGGCATGGAGCACAACAGCTCCCATCTCGTTGTCCCTAATAACTTCTTAAAATGCAGAGGCCCAGGCTTCTGTCCTGCTTCAGGAGATCCGAGGTCAGGATCAAGGTGTCTCCCGTTGTTACCCAGTACCCAGAAGACTGAGGACCAACAACCAGTAGAAAGAGTACTCTACCGGGAGTCCAGAGACTTGATTAGAGGTCTCATCCTGCTGCTTGCTCGCTAGCTGGGTTCCTTGGCCTGAACTTCAGGTTTTATCTGTTAAACCTGCTTTGTATACATTTCAGTGACATGATGATCTAGTATGCTGAATAATATAAAACTGCCAAATGCAAGCAGTCCTTATTGATTTCTTTCCTCCTCCTTCTAAGACTGACTACTACCATAGGCACTCAGCAAAAGAGCTAGAAGTCTTGGAACCAAGCCCCTGGCCCAAAGGTCTAGAAGATTCCTAACCTTACACCTTGTCTCTCCATGCCTACAGGCTGAACGGCTCTCTCCCGAAGGGTGTGGAGGCCCAGAACAGAACCCTCTTCTTCAGGGGACCCATCAATTACAGTCTGGCAGGGACTTACATCTGTGAGGCCACCAACCCCATCGGTACCCGCTCGGGCCAGGTGGAGGTCAATATCACAGGTAGGAAGCTGCACCTGCTCGGGCTGTCCCGCCCTGGGGTTTCTCTTCTACACACACACACACACACGCACACGCACACGCACACACACACACACACACACACACACACATCTTTAAGCTCTATCATTCTGGAAAGTTTGTGTCTTCTTTGTGTCTTCTGCTTTGCTGGCTCTCCCTGGAGCTCTAGCCATGGGTCTAATTTTGCTTTCTTTTTTGCTTTATTTAAGGCTATATGGAGCAGTTAGGGTTCTCCCTTCCCTGGCCCTAATCAGAGAGGGCCAGGAAGGAGGAGGATGCAGGGATGCTGTTTGCGGGGCGAACGGTGGGGGGGGGGGGGGGGGTAGACTTGCCTGGGGATCTTCTACTGTGGCATGCGAGCTTAGCAGGGCAGTCTGTACACAGAGCTCATCTTCAACATCTGCAGCTGAAGAAACCCTTTGGGCTGCAGGAGTGAGGCTTGCCTCAGGCAGGGAGATGGGAGCAAGGACACAGCCCAAAGCCAGCAGCAACTGAATTGCTGTTTCCCCCCTGATCTTTGTCAGCATGTGTGATGCTCTCAGGGCAAAGGAACAGCAAAGCCAGCATGTCCCGTGGAGAAGCCCCACGGCAGGCCTTATCTGTAACGTGGGGATAATGTGGCCTGCTGGCAGGACAGGCTATGTCAGAATGATACACAATGTAGGTCAGGTAACCTAGCGAGCACAGATCCGTCTATTCATAAATGGCCAGGGCTCTGTGATTATCATGATGACCTCTGTCATTATCATGATTAAGGGAAGCATCAAAACAAGGCAACAGAGGAGTCATTGCCATCAAACTTCACAAGGAATGTCACTCCTGGAGCTAATGGCAGGGTGAGAAAGTGACAGAAAGAACCTTCTAGAACAGGAAGTGATACCCTGCTGCTGCCAGGTGGGCAAGAAGTAACGTAATATGTGCAAAGGGCGTCGGACTTCCAGGAATTTAGGTAGTGATGCCTGGCTTCCTGGGGTCGGGGCTGGAGCCTGGGAAAGGCTCCTCCATACACACACAGAGATCGGGGACTCCCACAGCCTGGCAAACAGAAAGGAGGAGCTGTCACACGGCTTCCTTCTGGAGCAGGTTTGAGCCAAGCTGTGATCCAGGGGCCCCCTGGGTCAGACGAGGAAATGCAGGGTCCCCTTCCATAGGGAGCAGTCAGAGGGGGAATGGACAATTCTCAGAGGCAGTGTGGTGCGGGACAGCATAACCTGGCCTACGTGTTCTCAAGATCAGCTCTGGACTGTGTAGCCCTGAGCAAGTTCTTCACTTCTCTGAGCCTGAGCTTCCTACTCTGTAATGTGGATGTCATTGGTTTTCATGATTAGAATCTCAAGCTTCTTGTGGCTGGTGATGCCTTCCCTTAAGGGTGGCATGCCCGTGTCATGATGTATCTATCACCTTCTATCCTGGGCTCTCTGGAGAAACTGCTGATTGGGAAATCAGGATAAGCCAAGAAACACAACAGCAGGGTCTTCCCCTGTGTAAGAGCACCAGCCAGAGGCCCTGCTAAGCTATAACGTGTGCCTGTCCCCCAGAAGCTGGGAGCAAGAGGATCACAGCTTTTTATCTCCAAAGACTAAGGGGCAGGGTGACAGCCAAGAGTGCAAGGCTCAGATCTGGAGCTGGGAGGAGAGAAAGCCCTGTGGGATGGGAGACCACTCCCCCATACCTGCTGTGGCATCCAGGGTCAGCTTGGCGCTCCATCTCGGTGGTGGTGTGCTATCCTGGCTGTGCCAGTCATTACGCTAGTGCTGCCTCTGGAGGGCAGATGGACAAGGCCCCCCTGAGAACTGTGGCTAGAAGAGGGACATATCGGGACTCTGCTGTTGACAGCCCCATTAGGCATGCCACGTTCACCAAATCACTGCCATGCTCCGGAACTGTTGGCCTGCCCTATCGAGGGCATCTCCGAGCCCCCTCTAGAGAACTGCTCCAGGTAACCTAGGCCTTTTCAGGACTGCTTATTGTCATGCTCCCGGTCAATTTCTGATTAGCAGCCGACCTTAGCACCCTTTATCCCACATGGGAATTCTCCAGGAGGGGGGAGCCACGAGGCAGAGCTGGGCCCTGTGCTCCAAGCCCCACTGGTCCTGAGGCAATGCTTGAGTGAGACGGATAAGTAGAAATTTAATTTTTCATTCTGGCCATCCGTTCAGGTAATAGCTTTGCCCTGCGCACATCTGGAGAGGGGAATGAAGAGCAGCAAGGGCAAGGCCAGGCGCTGTAAGCTGCGGGGCATGCGCAAAGTCACTCGTGTGTGTAGATGCACATGGACAGGGCGACACAGAGGCATAAGTGGAAGCCGTGGAGGTCAGGGTGCCAGGCAGGGGGTAGGGAGGGCGTGCGGGAGGCGAGAGGCTGCAGCTCTGGCAGGCACGGAAGGAGCAGGACTGCAGAGGGGCTCTGGGTGGCTCTCAGGAAAGCAGCAGATCCAGCACACGGGTTAGATTGAGTGCTGGGCATTCAGGAGGCTCCGTGGTGGCACTGGATGCCCGTTAGGGGCTGCCGCAACAAGTCACATCTAGTATAAAACAGTAAGCCCAGGCTGTGTCTGTGGGAGTGGTGAGAACTGAGTGTGTGTGGGAACTTCCGTGGCACCAGAAAAGCCCACCCTGCCCAAGCCCTTGTGCTGAGGAACAATTTCAAGCAAGGATTTAGTGGTCACACACACACACACACACACACATACACACACACACATACACACACACACACACACACACACACACACACACACACACACGTAGAGTTTCTCCACATTGTTCCTCAGGGGCTAATGCCAAGGCTAGAGAAGGGGTTCAGAATGTCACCTTGACCAGCTCAGGACACCAAATGGTATAGCATCTACTCCCAGGATATTAGGAGGGGCGTAGCCAGACATCTCTGGCAGGGGCCCAGCCTCTTGCCCCTCTTCTAAGAGCAGGTCAGGGAGGCTGCGAGGGGCAAGGCACCAGACCTAACTCTGTTTCCAGGGCAGTCTGGACTCCCTTGGGTGTGCGGTCATGGGCTCTACCTAGCAAACCAGGAATTCCGTGGATGGTTGGTTTTCAAGGCCTGATGTGCAGGTGTGCACACTCAGGCATGAGTGTGGATATGTGTTTCTGTGAGCGTGTAACTGTGAGCAGGCTTGCCACTGTCTTCATGTTGAGTGTGCAAATATTGAAGCTGTTGACAAATGAGCAGTGTGTCCAAGAGTCTTAGGAGGCAGCCGAGCCCATGCTTCTGGGAGGACAGAGGCCTCCAGCAAGGCCCCTGGTGGTCAGACCCAATACTCAGCTGCAGGATGGCCAGACTTCCCAGAGTGTGACCCCAGGCCTTCCCACTCTCCCTGCAGCCATCTGCACTGCATGCTGGGAGATGTAGTTCTCACCGTTTCCCAGCCTGATCTGATGCTGGACAGATGCTAGAGCATTTCCTGTCTGAGGGAGCATCGCGCATTGACTGTGGAAACAATCCAAAACATTTCTCCTTGACCCCCAAACCTCCAGATTCTAGATCCAGACTGTGAACTCTGTCCCTCACTCTACCACAGATACATCCCCACACAACCCATCCACCTAGGTCAGGGAGCCAGAGCCCCAGAGGAATGCAAAGCCCCACTTGCACGGTTTTGCCGTCCCAGCCTAGCCAGTCTGAGATCTCAGAGGAGAGACAGCAACCCTTCAGAAACAGAGCAAAACTGCCCCTTCTGTGAGAGTGGGAGGGCTGGGCCCCTGCCCGCCCGCACAAACGACTCCACTGCCGCCCTTCTCTCTCCCCCCCGCCCTTCTCTCTCCCCCCAGCTGCGGCCCTTGGGGCTCGGCTCCTGGCACCGAGACAGCAGCTACTGGCTGAATGTGACAGCTGGAGGGACAGAGGGGGAGGGGGAGGATGCTCCACGGCACACAGCCCCTTCCGCCTGCACCCGGATTAGGTCCCCACACCTACCCTTTTCTTCTGTCCTCTCCCGGTGCTGGAAGGTCATCCTAACCTTCCCTCTGCCTCTTACTCAGGCCTGACCCTAAAGTAGCCAAAAATAAAGTCTCCTTTTGATCCCAGAAGATCCCTAGGGAAGAGTAAACCTCCATAGGCCCTAGGAACAAACAAGTGAAGCAGAAAGCCCAGATCAGGGAGGCAACCATGTGCGATCTGCTCAGGAGCCACCGCTCCACTCCTGTGCCCCACACCAGTGAAATGAGGTCCCCAGGGTGCCCCATGCCTGGTTCAGTTGAGTGTCCCCTGAGCCCGTGTTCGCCCTACACCGGGGCTCACCTCTGAGACAATTTATTCCTTCATTTGAAAAGAGATTTTTGAACTCCAGCCACATGGGAGCCTTCTAGGTGCTCAGGAATCGATCTGTGAGCAAAAAAGGACCACACCCCTGTCCCGTGAAGTTTTTGTAATACTTTTGAAGTAAAATGGAAAAAAGAACAGAGGAGTGGGGGGATCTGGGGGAAGCAGAGGTGCTGGGAGCAGAGGGCTCACACACGGCAATGTGGTTGGGTGGGCATGGCCTCCACCAGAAGCTGGTGCTTGAGCCCATGATAGTGTGAACTCAGGATCCGCCCCCCCCAGGGGGTGGGGCGCTCCAAGATACAGCAAAGGCTCAGAGACAGCTTCTCAAATGCCCGACTTAAATGTTGGATCTCTGTGATGTCTTGTGAGCAGGAGGGTTGGGCCTCACACTCCAGAAGCTAGAGAACATCCCACCCTACACCTCTTGTAGCCTCCAGTGTGCGTGAGAACCTGAGGCTGTATCTAAGCCAGTGTTTCCCTGGGTGTTTGGCCTGAAGATTTTGCTGACTGTTGAGCCAATTTTTCAAGTTTCCTCTGTACAGTTTGGAAACTGTGTCTGCAAGGCCTTTGGAGGTAAAGTTCTGGAGTCAGGTGAGCGTTGTATACCTGAAATGTTTGGAAAGCCAAGAAGATAAAGATAACTCATGAAACCGAGAGTAGTCTATCATTAGGAAAGACAGCAGACGGCCCAAGGGCAGAGCCTCCAAGGAGACAGCTGGGGCAGAGAGACGGCCCAGCTCTGTGCCGGAGACAGAGTACTCAGGAACACCAAGGATCCCGGAATCCTCATCCTGGTAGGCAAGGGACATGTGTGAGGAACAGCAGGCAGGTCCCTCCATCCGGGTGCCCTTTGCTTACTGTCTGTGCCACCGTATTTCCATTTCCCCGTACTCCTGACCACTTCACTGTCAGTTCCGTGGTATCTGCCTACCGCTCTGACTCTAAGCATACCCTTTGGATCCCTCCAGAGGCTGAGTTTCTTAGATACTGTGACCAGCAAAGATAGGCTCAGGATGTGTTTGCTGAGTGTAAAGATGGAAGCAGGTATAGAATTCAGATCTGGAGAGATCCAAAGAGGGAGCAGCAGGTTGGAAGTACAGACTGGAGCAGCCTCTTCCTAGCTGCCCTGCACACCTGATGCAGAGGCGGCTCACGTCTCAGGGGGTAGCAGGTGCTTGAGGTTCTAGATATGGGCAGTCAATGCGGAGCAGCCCCTCGGTGGCCTGACTGAGGACACAAGGCGACAAATGGGGGACCGAGTCCTCGGGCTTGTGCTTCTTTCTCCAGCCCCAAGCACAGAGACATCTGGGTGACCTCAGCTCAGCCATGTGATCATGGACAAATGGCCGCCCCTTCTTGGGGCCCCTGTGTTTTCGTTAGCCCTTCAAGAGGCCTTTCCTCTTTCCAAAGTCTCCACCCCATAGCCTACAGGCTCACTCAGGGCTGGGCTCCATCGGAAGCAGGGGATGGGCTCCGGGGAGGGACGTGATTCTGATGGGGTGAATCAGGGAGTGAGCTGGCAGCAACGGACTCCCAGGGGTAACAGCATGGGCCAAGACAGACAGACCCTGTACCCTGGCTCTCAACTTGGCCTTGACCAGGAGAGGGGAGGGAGCGCAGCTAGGGATGGCCCTCCAGGTTTGCTCTAGGCCTACAGTCACGGTCTCTGATGCCACCCTGTGGTAGTGCCAGGAACCACCTCCCTCAGCCTCTACCTGGGACCTCTTGGCCTCTGCCTAGTATGGCTTGGTTTGACCTCCCCACCCCCTAGGCTCTAGAAGCAAAAGGAAGGAGCAGCATGCATGGCCCAGAGCTCCACAATACTATGGCTTGCTGATGCAAAAGCCACCGACCCGGCCTCTCCCATCCGCTCTCTCCCTTTCCTCTTCCTTTTCTTTTCCTTTCCTTTTTCTTTTTTTTTTTATGCTGATACTGGGGCTTTAACTCAGGGCTTTGTGCTCTTGCTTAGCTTTTTCACTCAAGGCTGGCACTTGACCACTTAAACCACACCTCTACTTCTGGCTTTTTGCTGGTTAATTGGAGATTAGTCTCACAGATTTTCCTGCCAAGTCTGCCTTTGAACCTCCATCCTACCGTCTCAGACTTCTTGAGTAGCTAGGATTACAGGCCTGAGCCACTGGTGCCCAGCTTCTTCCTTTCCATTCATTCCATCACCTGCTTTTTTGTTTCTGCTCTGTCCTCAGCGTACACATAGACAAACCAGAGCATTCCTCACACCAGGGCAGGCTGCAGCCCATGCACATGCGCAGCCTCGGAGACTCAAGTCTTCAGTGCATGCTCGTGCGTGCACTTCCCCTTTGTGCTCAGCCCTGCTGTGAGCCTGCCACCTGCCATGCTGCGTGTCTCATGCCTGCAGCCCAGGTGGGCAGCACCACCACGTCTCCACCTTGCCCTGCAGGCCTAGACCACAGCCAAGAGCCCCAGCCCTGGTTTCTGGCACCTTCAGCAGCTGATTGGCACTCACAGTCAGCCAAAATTTGGCATCTACTGAGCCAAAACCAGGGAACTCATTTTCCTGTGTCCTGGGGAGCAGATTAGATTAGTCATGGATCTCCTAGTCTTGTCTGAGCTTTGAGTCTCAAGGCCGTAGTGTTGGGGTACAGTGACCTCTAGGTGTCCGGCAAAGGGACAGTGGTGACATTGCACAGGCTTTATTGGAATCACGGTTGCATCATCCGTTGGGTGGCCTTGAGCAAGTTATCTAACCTCCGTACGCCTCATCTGCTGCGTGAATCAACTAGAAATGAGTAACAGTCTGCCTGGCATGGCTGCGACAGCGAGTGGTGCCTGGTGTTACGGTCCGGGGACCGTGTGCCTCTCTGCCCCAGCACATGGGGTCGAGTGCACGGCCGCCCTCCAAGAACAGACATGGTGGCAGACCCTGCGGATCTGTCCTCAGCCTCTCCCCTCGCCTACCTCGGTTGAGCTTCAGGAGGGCGGGTGCCCAGGGTTTTCTGGAAGCAGAGCTGCTTGAGCCTGGGGTGCAGACATCCTATCCCTAGCCCCGGACCACACCCTGGCCTTTCCTTCCACTTTCCTCCCCCCACTGATTCCCAAAGAGCTGATGCTGACACTCTCCCCTGCAATCTCTTTTCCTCACCCAGAATTCCCCTATACCCAATCTCCTCCTGAGCATGGGCTGCGTGCGGGGCCGGTGCCCACGGCCATCATTGGGGGCGTGGCGGGGAGCGTCCTGCTGGTGCTGATTGTGGTCGGCGGGATCGTGGTGTCCCTGCGCCGGCGCCGACACACCTTCAAGGGTGACTACAGCACCAAGAAGCACGTGTACGGCAACGGCTACAGCAAGGCGGGCATCCCTCAGCACCACCCGCCCATGGCGCAGAACCTGCAGTACCCCGACGACTCGGACGACGAGAAGAAGGCCGGCCCGCTGGGCGGGAGCAGCTACGAGGAGGAAGACGAGGAGGAGGGCGGCGGAGGGGGCGAGCGCAAGGTGGGCGCCCCCCACCCTAAGTACGACGAGGATGCTAAGCGGCCCTACTTCACTGTGGACGAAGCCGAGGCCCGACAGGACAGCTATGGGGACCGGACTCTGGGCTACCAGTACGACCCCGAGCAGCTGGACTTGGCTGAGAACATGGTTTCTCAGAACGACGGGTCTTTCATTTCTAAGAAGGAGTGGTACGTGTAGCCCCCACCCCCCATCTGCGGAGCCTCTGTCTGTGCCCACTTCTCCCCGCCCCTACCCGCACGCCCCCTGTCCACCCCCTACTGCCCGCTCCCCCAGGAGCTCCACAGAGACTCCCGCGCCCCTCTGTCCAAAGCCAGCCTCCACCCTGGGGAGCCAGGGGAGCCCAGGGCAGCCGCCTTGGCTTTGTTTTTTCTTTCCTCCCTCTCCCAGCCCTTCCCCGTGGTGTTGTGTTCCACTGTGGCTTTGGTGTTGCTGTATCTTTCCTTTAACAACCCCACCCGCTACCCACTGTGTAGGGAGCCCCGTTCTTGTCTTGTGTACCTGGGCCTCCCTCCAGGATTTGGGGAGCCCGCCCTGCCCCCACCCCCTAACACTGGAAATTTGTTCGTATTCTCTTCATTGGGGGTGCAGGGCTAACGGGGCTCCAAGAGGAAGAGCCCCCACACACACACACACACACCCCTCACTCCTGGATGCTGCTCCTCTTTCCAGACAGAAGGAACCCAACACCCCACCGTAAGCTGACACAGCCAGGGGGTTGGGACCCTGGTCTAGACACCCAGCACACCGAAGAGACAGGGGTAGGGAGGCGTCCCACAGCCCCGCAGAGGAGTCTTGTTAAGGGTTGCTACCCCAGGGCCTTGGGTGGTATGTTTTCTCGGTGAGGGTGGTCTTACCTTTTTTATTTCCCCCTTGGCCTACGGAGTCAAGCTGACCCAGCTCTGGTGCGCCCCTCCCTGTGCCCCCAGGGTGTGCCCCTCACACTGTGAGACACTCCGGGGGGACTCACCCCTCCTTCCTGAACACCTCTGCCCACACATGCACAGGGGAACATGTCCACGCCACTCGGCCTGCCCCAATCTCCCAGGGCTCCTGCATCCTGCCCAGGCTGGACGCTGCCCAGGGCCCACCCTTCCTGCTTTGCCTCTCCCCCTCTCCAGATGAATCCTCATCTGCAAGTTTCTAGGGACAGCTAGGATGAGCCTTCCAGCTGCTGCCACTCTAGGATTGCAGGATGGCCCCAACCTCTCCCTATAGTATAGAAGTTTCTCAGATTCCTCTCTTACCTATCAACTGCCAGCAACACTTAATTCTCTTGGCAATTCAGGGCTGGGGTCTCCGAAGGGAATTCCGTCCAAGAGGTGGAGGCCAAGGATTTCTGTGGAGAAGGAAGCCTTGTGGGAGAAGCTTCGAGGACAGCTGGGTAGACTGGGGAGGACAGGAAGGCCTCACCGCAGGCCCAGGGCCAGTGCAGAGCCAGGCGCGGCCAGGAGACTGCTGCTGGTCCACTCTCCCTTCCCTGCTCAGCAGCCCCTGGCGCCCGGCCTGGGAGGGAGAGCCCTGCGTTGAGTTCAGATTCTCTCCTCAGTGGTCCAGGGCTAGGCCTTCCCATGCTGGCCTCTCCCAGCCCTCTCTGTCCCCCAGCTCAAAGTGCCTCAGTTCCTCCACCTGCCTCTCCTCCCAGGTTCCCTGCACTCGACATGGGCATGCCCACCCCCTGGGATGGACAGGCAGGGTCGGAGGACCCTCGGGCCTGCCCATCACAATCTCGGCTAACAGCCCAGGGTGCTGTGTACTGTGGAAGATGTTGGGGGAAGAGGAGCAGACTACTCTGTGCCCCAGGGGCACTGACCACCCTGCCATAGGCTTCCCAAGGGAGCCCTCCAGCCCCAGCCTCTTCTCCGCCCAGGTGCTGCTATTGAACCCCCACCCCCACCCCCAGCCGGAAGCTCCATCTCTGCCCTGGCCACCCCGCTGGCCCTCACTGCCGGAGCCCCAGCCCAGGCCGCCCAGTAGCCATGTAGCAGAAGTCTGAAGCCATGCCAGCCCGGGGGCGGCTCTCCCCTCTTGGCATTGGAGGCACTGGATGGGGCAGGATGGGGAGGGGAAATTCAAGGATTTTTAGCCACAAGGCGGAGGGAAGTGGAAGAGCTGGGCTGTTCTCCTCAGCAGTGTTAGTGTCCCCTAGGGCCAAGGTCCCTTCCCACGCCACATTACTGCCCTCCTCCCTCCTCATGCCACATGGGTCCCACTGCTCTGTCTCCCCCCCAGGGGCAAGCCTGGGGGTCTGCCTGGTAGAGGCCGTCCCTATCCCTGTGGGACCAGTCGCCCCCTCCCCGCCCCTCTGTGGTAGACTGAAGAGGCCCTGGGCCCAGCCAAAGCACTGAGTCCCCCATAAAACATCTCCAAACCCCCCACAAGCAAAGCACAAATGATGGGGTCCTTGCAGCAGGGGCTGAGGGCCCGGCCCCTGCCTGCTCACCGGGCAGCTGCTGCCTTGGGGTGAGAATGGGCGCGAGGCACGGGTTAGCGCTCGGGCCCAGGGAGCTGGGGGTTCCTGTGCCCTGTGTCCCTGGGACAGTGGCAGACACAGCCAGCTGCCGGAGGGAGGGCCAGCCCAGCAGAAAGATGAGGACATTTTGCTTCTTCATGCCCCCAGCATGAGCTGAGCTTCCGCTTCGCTGGAAATAAAATAAACCTGGTGTTTACCGTGCCAAGGCCTGCCCAGCTGTCATCCTGCCTCTCGTGGCCCCCCACGGCCCCCGGCCCCCGGTTCCCTATGGATTTTGATATTGTTCTAGTGTGCGACAACCCTCTGTGTCCCCTTTTGCCAGAAGGAGCTAAAAGGCAGCAGCACGGAATCAGTGAACACAAGCTCAGCACACGCGCACATGGGCACACTCACCGCCAGCAGGCACAGACACCTGTGCATGTGCACGCACACTCACACACACACATACACGGCCAGACGGACAGTCAGTGCAGACACAGCAGAAGAATGGGTGCATCCTGCGGAGCGCCGTTCAGGGGAAGCAATCGTTTCCTAGTGCTTGGTTCCAGGGCAGATTGGCCAGCTGTCCCCTCACGGGCCCCAGTCACCGGTGCAATAACGTTACTGCCATCAAAGCAGGAGAATCAGGACTCATGTCAGGTGGATGTGACGGCTCACCTGAGCCCAGCAGACATCAGTGTTTCCTCTCCTGGAGGAGGCGGGGGGGGGGGGGGGATGCTTCCAGGCCTTGAGGGGTTGAGCTGGAGACCTCCAAGCCTGACTGCCAACAAAAACCCGCTCCTAGTGAGGGCAGGTGGCTAAAGTCACTCTGGGACCAGAGTTGCCCACAAGGGGAGGGCTGCAGGCCTGGCTGCTGCTGTGAGGATCAGGCTTGTTGGCCAGAAAAGTTGGTTCTCTCTCTCTCTCTCTCTCTCTCTCTCTCTCTTTTGTATAAATGGAAACAAAATCCAGGAGAAGCTGCCACCCTCATCACCAAGTGTGATTTGCTTCGATTTCTATGTCACCATTTTTGTCTGTGGTCCTGGGGACGGCCCCGCACATTCTCCTGGTTCTGATCCCGGGGTGTTTGCCACACCCCCCTTTTACTTGTATAAAAGAAAAAAAAATGATGGGTTGAAAAATGTACTGAGGAAAAAAAATGTACTTTTTTATAAATAAAATGTTTAAAACAAACCCAACTGCCTCTTATTACCAAGGTAGGGGTGGGGGAATAAAGCTGCAGACGGCTGTGGACAAATGTCCCAATGAATGGGAAGACTGTGGGCTGTGGATGGAGCCTGGGCTGATGTAGGGCCCCTCGGGGAAAGGCGGTCTGACCCTGACACCAGTGGCTCACTCCCGCAATCCTAAATACTCGAGAGGCTGAGATCCAAGAAGGAATTGTGGTCCAAAACCCACCTGGGCAGAAAAATCCAGGAGACTCTTATCTCCAATTAACCAGCCAAAAGCCCAAGCGGAGTTGTAGCTCAAGTAGTAGAAAGCCACCCTTGAGTAGAAAAGGCCAAGCAAGAGTGTGAGGACCTTCGTTCAAGCCTTAATACTGGCACAAAACCAAAAACAAGAAAGGAGGCTGAGGGGCATAGCCAGGGAGAGGCCTCTGCTGCACACATCTTTTTCTAAATTAGGATGATGTGTGGAGGGGCTCCTATTTTATACGTCAGGTAAAGAGTATATTTCTTTTGGGCAGTGTCACCCCTTTACTCTTTGCCAGTTTTTCCCTCTCCTCTGCCACAGTTGTGCAGTTCATTTTCAACATAGTGTCTACTGAGTATCACAGCTACATTTGGTCACCCTTTGTCCCTCCATTTCTATGCCCCTCTGTGCCCCTCCTCTTAAATACAGGTAAACAAACAAGACAAAACAAAAACAATAAAAACCACCAAAAAGCAAAAACAGACAACGCCATCTTCACCAACAGCAGCGGGGGGGGGGGGGGAGGGGGGGGTGGGAAGCATCCTGTTTCCTTTCCTGGAATTTATTTCAATAAATATTACTGTTCAGCGGCATTGTCCTTTGTCCCCAGATCTTGCTTCCTGCCCCTCCCCTGCTCTCCCGTAGTCTCTCTCAAGGTGTCCTGAAGCTCTGCTCGGTTTCCTCCCATGGTTCCTTGGCACAGAAAACCAGCAGGGTCACGCCCGCCCGCCCGGGTGGAGTCCCAAGGCCAGAGAAAGGCGCTTTATCCTCACATCCATCCTGCCCGGACCATCTCCTGCCAGTCCAAGCCAAACAACCCCATCTCTCCCCAAGGACCCGGTTAAGGGTGGGGAGGGGAAGATCCCCGTGTTCCTTGCTTCCCTCCCCCTCCCCATGCCAGCAACATCTGCTTCCCATCTCCTGGACTGGAATGCAGGACAAATTGGACCTGGGTGGGAGGGGTAGGGGGTGAGGGGACTGCCCACCCCGGGCCCCCTGGCCAGTAGCATCTCTTTTCACTGAAACCCACACCAAGGACCCCTGGGAGAGGGGGAGGGACAGATGCCACGGTAGCTGTTGAGCACAAAGTCCTGCCCGTGTGTAGGCCAGGCCACATCCTCCACACCTAGGATTAGGGCAGGACGGTCCGGCAGAATGCAGCGTAGAGGAGAAGCCGGCAGCTGTTGGCAGCTGGCTGGGCCCCTCTCCGTGGACAGGGGGGACCACCATGGACAGGGCAGCCTTCCGATGCCGATCTTCGAATGCGATGCAAATAGGTTGCTTGAGTGGTCACTTCCTTGGTTTTTCAGGCTGTCTGTTTAAGTTAATTTTTAATTTGCACAGGCAATAAATGCTTAATTACGTTATTAATATATTGGAAGAGAGCAGTGGACAGAGCGTCCTAATTGGCATTTAACTAGAGCGTTCCGGCAAATTAGCCAAGACTTTCTCTGGCTGTGCTGAAGGAGGGCAAGCCAGTGAATGCCAAGCACCACCTCTCTGGGAGGAGCTCTGTGCCAGAGAAACCAACCCAGGCCTTGGCCACAGGATACCAGAGTCCAGTGATTGTTTTCTTTTTTTTTCTTTTGCCAGTCCTGGGGCTTAAAGTCAGGGCCTGAGTGCTATCCCTGAGCCTCTTTGTGCTCAAGGGTATTGCTTGAGCCACACACCACTTCCAGCTTTTTCTGAGTAATTTGTTGGAGATAAAGACTTTTCAGCCCAGGCTGGCTTCAAACCGCAGTCTTCAGATCTCAGCCTCCTGAGGATAACAGGCATGAGCCTCCGGCGCCCAGCTACCACTCTTAACTCCTATTGTGTCTGGCTTAGAAAGAACTTTCTACTAGTTAGGTGATAGTTCCTTCTACCCAAATCCCAGCCCTTGCCCTGCCCCGCCCCGCCCTCAGTAGAGCTGAGGAGCCAAAGCCAGACTGCCTGCCTGGAGGTGGCCTGCCCGAGTGGCCACGCCCATCCTCCCTGCGGCCTGCCATTGCCCCTTCCCGACTGCTAGGCCTCGTTCTCAGATACCTGGAGACTGCCGACTCTGCTCCCTCCATCCCCTTAACCCCACCTGCTCCTGACTGCAAGATGGTAAAGAGGGTGGACTCAGTGAGTAGAAGGACTCATTCATTCACGTGCATTCATTCACCTAGGTCACACTTTGAGTGACCCAAGGACCCCAGGGACCCCAGCTTCACATACTGGTAGTGTCAGCCTGTCCACAGGCTATGCAGAGCCGCATGTGAACACTGTGGAAATACAAGACAGGAGTGGCTAACTTTGTTCAGGAGGATTTGAGGTCATCTTCCACCTGGGCCTTGAAGGATGTATAAGAGATCTCCAGGTTCAATGGACTCCAGGCAGAGACTTTAGCCCCTTACATTAGTCTAGCACATGGAGAACTAACGTCTTCAGAAAAAGCTTGCCATTTGCCCCCAACCCACCTTAGAAAGCGTGTGCCAACCATGTTCAAGGGCAAGACAGGGCAGCAGGAGGAAGGAGGGGATCTGGGAGAGGGTGGGGAACCTCCTAGGGTGGAGGAACACTGTGCACCTGCCCCTCGGCTCCTGGGTGCTGGCTCCTGTGGCCCCAGGCCCTATTTCCCTTTAAAGACAGCCAGGCTAGGTCCTCCTCTACAGCTGCTACTGGCTCTCCCCATCGCTACCACCAACTCCTAGGCAGCCACGGACAACCACCGCTCCCTTGCAGCCGCGTGCACATGCACGCACACCATACCGGTGTCATGTCTGGCTCCATGGCCAAGTGCACACTGAGCTCTAGGCTGGGAAAGGCACCGGGATGGCTGAGCTGGGCTCGAGAGCTAGCATCAGGGCATCGACACCCCCTGAGCTCAGAGAACTTGGCCCAGAATAACACCCGGATCCCCGAGGATTGAAAACAACAGGCCCCAGACCCAGGCAAGTAGGGCAGAGCCTCCGGGGCTGGGACTTGTTAATAAGCTTCCCAGGAGATTCTAAAAGATGAGCAGCCAAGTCGGGGGTGGAGTCAGGGCTGCTCCAGGTGTCAATCATGAGGAAGAGGCGGGTCCTGAGACAAACTCCGCCTCTTGTGGGTATCGGTGATTCCGTGAATGGCTCCACGTGAGGCTTAAGTGCCAGCTCCGCTCTTTCTTGTTGCCATCATCGGTCATTAATCATCTTCATCTCCACCTCCAAGACGTGAGAGCCTGCGTGATGCAGGCCTCCCCCGTGGGCCAGGCCTCCCCGAGACACTCATCCTGAAGCCTCACCTGTGAGCTTCAGGAAGCAGGTTTCCACCGTGGTTTCCACCATTCCTGGGAATCTGCCTAAAGGGAGAATTAGACGCTGAGCTAAAAGCCCAGGCAGGAGAACTCCTGTGTGAGCCTGGTGCAGCATCGTCAGCTATTGGAGGATGGTCACTGGTCAACAAACCACTTTGCCAAGATGCTGCTCTTTGGAGTCAGGTGAAGATGAGTTCAAGTCTTGGCCCCCTTGGTCAATAGCTGTGGGGAAACACGATCTCGAGAGCGAATGAGCGCTCAGCCAGCATCGCAGTCCCAGTCACCTCTGAGCTACAGGAGGTAATGATGCCTCTGGGTGAGTTCATGCAGTATAACAAATGCACCACTCTGGTAGAGATGGCTGACGGTGCGGGAGGGCACGCTGTGCCTTCCTGGGCCCACACTGTGAAATAGAAAATCAAATCTATTTTTTGAAAGTTCCAGTTATTCCAGGTGTTCATGGGGGAAGGGGGGAATTACCATTTCCCTCTCATTCCAAAGGAGTTGAGATAAAATACTGTTTTTGAAAACTAGTCTGACCTGTAGAGGATGAGAGTTCAGGAGTGAACACTTTAACCTTGGCCTTGCTACTCTTACGTAGTGGGCACAACCAACTCTTAGACTTCATGGGGTTGGCAGTGGGACTCAGTCCTAGTGGTTACAGCCCTGGATAAAGAGGGATGGGTAGGTGGGTGGGTGGATGGACAGATGGATGGATAGACTGATGGATGTTTCGATAGGCAAGTAAACCTCTGAATCTTTTCTTGTGTGCTTGGCCTAAATTGATCAACATCCCTCGTACTTGGACTGCCTATCTTACCCCCAGTGTGGGGATCTTTGTGTGTCTTTGCTATGTGTTATCTCAATGACTGGGGTCAACATTTGAGCTGTTGCAGTACCTCAGAAGCTCTTCCATGATCAGCTCACCAATATGTCCTGGAAGCAGTGTGAAAGGAAAGACACAGGGCTGGAGGGTCAGACTGACCGTGATTCGATCCCTCGTCACTGTTCACGAGCCACATGGACCTTGGGG